CAAGATTTCTCTCCAATGGAAAAACTGAGTCACAACATCCTTCCCCCAAAGAACAATCACTTTTTTTAAAAAAAGAACAAATTAATTTTACCTTACATTGAAATAAATCAGCTCTCTTCTTCAACATTACTGACATTCACAGTGATGAGCTACAGCATCTTTGTAGAATTACTTCAGTCATTGTTGATGTAAAACCTGTCTGCATTACTATTGCTTTGGCACAATTAGAATTGCAAGACACTATAAATCAGGGGTCTTCAAACTTGGCCCTCTTATGACTTGTGGACTTCAACTCCCAGAATTCCTCAGCCAGCGTGCCTGGCTTAGGAATTCTGGGAGTTGAAGTCCACAAATCATAAAAGGGCCAAGTTTGAAGACCCTTGGTATAAATGAAAAGTTGGTATTCCTATATTCCTTGAAGGAAAATTTGACTCTGAGTGACATGAAGTCCAGAAGTAATAAAAGGGCCAAATTTGAAGACCCCTGCTATAAACTCTAGTGCAGAAATGATAATTATGGAACACTGAAACCCCAAGCTGATTTCCACCTGGCTTAATCTTTGTGATGATCCAAGAGGGTGCTTGCTATCCATTTATGGCCTATCCAGGTGAGGCAGGGCAGGAGAAAAATAAGTTAGGAACCTCAGCTCAAGATTTGTTTGTTTCTTTCCATGCTATGTTCACAAAGTCACTTTTCTGGTTTCAGAATTTTACAATGGTTAGTAACATTGACAATGAAATCTCTGAGCATTTCAACTACCTGGTAAATAAAGGATTTTAAAACCTTTCATCTTCAATAAATGCTTTGAAAACACATTCATCTGAACAATTTCATTTTGCAAACTGTCAAATTTTGACAATTGGGACACCTCCGAGATGTTATATTTTCAAAATGTAAGAGGTTATTTTCAAGTACTTCAATATATTTTGGAATCACAAATAATGATTTTTTTTTCCTTTTAGTGTTCTGTGTATGAAATTCAGGGCAAAATAATCATATCTTTAATGGAAGGAATTTAGAACTGAGGAGAAAAGCTACAGTTCCAGAGATGGTACTACATTTCAATCAATCAAAAATATGTTGATGCTGAAGAGAATACTATTCCTTTAATAAATACTAGCTCATTATAATGAATGCATTGAAATAGGAATTTGGTATTTTGGAGATGAGAAAGAGAATTATAGAATATTACATACTGGATTGTGTAATTAATATCTAAAATAATTCTATAGCTGTTATGGTCTGTGACATAATCACTGGGGATGGATAAAATCTAGCAGGAAAACAGAAAAGAAACTTACTTTAAAACTGTATTTTCACACCTTTAGCATCTATCATAGTAATATGATGTCACATTCAGTTGTTGAGCTCAGGGTGGGAAGATTCAAATCCCCAGGCAGCCAGGAAGTTCAATAGAAAGTCTGGAACCAGTCTTGACAGCCAGTATGATGAACTAGTTAAGGAGTTGGGTTGGCATTAGGAAGACAAAGGTTCAAATCTACTCTCAGCCATGGAAACACCTGTGCCACATTTCTTTTTCCCAGCTTTATTGTGAAGAAGATTAAGGGGGGGGAGGGAATTCTATGTTCTGCAAAACTTCAGGGGGAAAAATGCCTCTAAAGACCAGTTCTTCTTTCTGGTCTCGAAGCCGTGCAAATTCTGTGCCAACATCCATTACCAACATTTGAACAGCTGGACTAATTACACATGAAGCTGTTGAGTTTTTATCTTTAATTTTTTTTCTTGATGTGGGATTGCAGCAATTCAACTCAGCATTGAAATAAATTGCTGGTGAAGAGAACCAATTTGTCCTTAGGAAGGAGAACAGTGTAATGGGAGGATCTCCACAGAACCTTTAGGAAGCGAACAAAAATGAGATTTTTTCCAGGGGATGGTTCAGCCTAGGAATAGAATAGAATAGAATAGAATAGAATAGAATAGAATTGGAAGAGACCATGGAGGTCTTCTAGTCCAGCCCCCTGCTCAAACAGGAGAACCTATTCCAACTCAGACAGGTGAATATCTAGTCTCTTCTTTAAAAACTCCAGTGATGGAACACCTAAGATTTCTGGGGGTAAGCTGTTCCACTGGTTGATTGTCCTCACTGTCAGGAAGTTTTTCCTTAATTCCAGGTTGCTTCTCTCTTTGGTCAGTTTCCAACCACTGTTTCTCGTCCTTCCCTCTGGTGCTTTGGTGAACAGCCTGGCACCCTCTGCCTTGTGACAGCCCCTCAGATACTGGAATCTGACTATCATGTCACCCCTATTTCTTCATTTCTTTAGACTAGCCAAACCAAGACCCCTAGCCATTCTTCATATGTTTTAGTCTCCAGGCCTTTGATCACCTTAGTTGCTCTTCTCTGAATTTTTTCCAAACTCTCAACATCTTTTTAATGATATGGTGACCAAAATTGGTTGCAGTATTCCAGGTGTGATCTCACTAGGGTTTTATAAAGCGGTTTAATACTTTGTGTGATCTTGATTCTATGCAACAGATGGAAACTAATTAACGGAAGAAGCAACCTAGAACTAAGGAGAAACTTCCTGACAGTTAGAACAATTAACCAGTGGAACAACCAGCCTCCAGAAGCGGTGAATGTTCCAACATTGGAAGTTTTTAAGAAGAGGCTGGACAGCCATTTGGCTGAAATGGTATAGGGTTTCCTGCCTGAGCAGGGGGGTGCACTAGATGATATCCAAGATCCCTTCCAACATCATCATCATCATCATCATCATCATCATCATCATCATCATCATCATCATCATCATCATCATCATCATCATTATATTATTATTATTATTATTATTATTATTATTATTATTATTATTATTATTATTATTATTATTATTATTATTATTATTATTATTATTATTATTATGCCTCTGTTTATACAACCCAGGATTTTATTAGCTTTTTTGGTTGCTGCTGCACATTGCTGGCTCATAGTCAAGTGATCGTCCGCTAGGACCCCAAGGTCCCTCTCGCAGTTGCTGTTTTTAAGCCAGGTCTCGCTCAATCTGTATTTGTACCTTTGGTTTTTCCTGCCTAGATGTAAGACTTTGCTTTTCTCCACATTGTAACTCATTTTGTTCGATAAGGCCCATTGTTCAAGGTTGTCAAGATCTTTTTAGATCCTGAGTTTGTCTTCTGGGTTGTTGGCTACTCCTGTCAGTTTGGTGTCATCTGCAAATTTAATGAGTTCCCCTTCAATTCCCCCATCTAAGTCATTGATGAAGATATTGAAGAGTAATTTGCCCAAGACGGAACCTTGTGGTACCCCACTGCTTACTTCTCTCCATGTGGATGTAGTGCCATTGAGAACTAATATGGTGGGAGCAGAGAAAAATGGAAATAAAACCCAGACATGGACTATCACAAAGGGATGGATCAAGATTGTTGTTTTAGAGAAGAGCTTGAAGTTTCACTGCTTAGTTTACCCCCGATTTTTATCCTTGAGGGAAGAAGAGTGAAGTCCCTTCTCCAGGATTTTGGCTTTAGATAAAGTTACTCATGGGGCTGTACTAACTGGAAAATAAACTGGAATTGAAAAGGAGAGTCTCACAGAGCTTGTTTGGCCAGCAGAGCTTCCAACCAACCAATGATGGGCACCACAAGACCACTGAAGATGCAAGGTAGAAGTGCTATACACATAATCTCTTTAGATAGCTAGTTTTTAAAGCATTCAGTAGTCTTCCATTTAGTCAAATGAAACAAAATCAGTGAGGTGTATTAATTGCCTGATTATGTGCCATCAAATCAGTGTCAGTTCTTAGAGACTACCTAGAAAGACTTTCTCCAGGATGATCTTATCACCAAGCTAGTGTTTCAGGTTTTCTAATGGAGCATCCATTCCTACTATAATTGAGTCCATGCATCTTGCTGTTGGGTCATCTATTTCCTCTCACCATTCCCAGAATTATAGACTTTTCAAGGGAGTGGGTTTTCACATAATATGTCCAAAGTACATATTTGTGCCTAGTCTTTTGTGCCTCAAGTGACAATTCTGGATTAATTTTTTTTACCATGCATTTATTTTCTTGCCTATCTATGGTATCCCCAGGCGTCTTCATTGACACCAAAGTTCAAAACCATCAATGATCGTGTTATCCTACTCCTTCAGAATCTAACATTTGATTCCATGCAGCAGTGTATCTCAATCTTGGTAATTTTTAAGATGTATGGACTTCAGTTCTCAGAATGCCCAAGCTAGAACATTCAGGAGTACACCAGAAAGATGGCACCCAAAGATGAGTTGCAGAGGGAATAGCTGAGGTAACAGTAGAAATGGGGAAAAGATCAAACAGAGAAAGTGACATGGCAAGACGATGTATGGGCCAGACCCTCTCAGAGGGGGCATTCCAAAGAAGGTCATAGAGAATAAGAAGGCAATAGTAGAAAAGGACCAGGAGACAGTGGTGGTGATAGATGGAGCAGTGCCAAGTGACCGCAACATCAGAAAGGAGTTTGAGAAGCTGAAGAAGTAGCAGTGCCTGAAGCAAGAAGTGGAGGATGTGGAAAGTAAAGGCCAAAGTGGTTCAATAGTATTCAGGGCCAGGACTCCTGAGCTGAAACAGATCCCAGGAACAACGCCAGAACTCTCCATCCTGAAGAATGCATGGCTAGTAATAACTAGGATACTGTGCCAAACTCTTAAACTCCCAGATCTCTGGTAGAGAACCTGAGGTTGAGGAAGACACATACCATCCATAGTGGTTAGAAGTGTTCCTTTCCTGTATCTGTTATTCCCTTCTACAAAATGTCAGACTCCCAACCAGACTTATGCTAACAAATACTGAGAATATGATACATGTGAGCAACTTTAAATTTTGAGCAACACTTCGCATGAATAAACCTGGCATATTATGATCAATGGGTAGTGCAACATATGTCAATATTTTTATGTCATATGCAAAATGGTGAAATGCCAAACACATCAATGAGGGATCAATGCAAAAACACAGTTAAACTTTTAAATAATGTGCTGAAAGCTCCTCACTCGCAGATCCTTCATCACCTACCAATGAAGTGACTTAGTGTAATACAAGGCTAAACACACAAATGTGAAATGTTAGTGCATTCATGGCATTAAACTAGTGGGGAAAATAAGAGTTTGATCTCAGCAGCCTCCTCATCTAGGCAAGCTGTGCAATGAACAGAATAACAATTTCAGGGTCTTTCTCTTCCTCTAAATTCACTCATGATTTGAATGGGGTGTATCTTCTTCTTAGCTGAACCTCTTCTGACAGCTGCATAGATCTCCTCTGGCTTCTCTCTCTTAATCAAAGGTTTCTTTTCTGGAGCCTTCATCCGCCACATCACCACAGGATGTCGTGGGCCAGCAGGACTTTGAATTCGGATAATCTTTGTGGAGGCAATGTAGGACATTTTCACTGTCTGCACCACAGCATTCATCAGGTTTTTGGCAGCTTGAATCAACGAAGTCACACTGTCTAACTGCAAGCAGAAACACAACTATTATAGTCTCAGAAATAATGCCTGTTGTTTCCTTTTGTAGACTTGAATGCGCAGAACTTAAATTTGATTGGGTCAAAAATAACATGCAATGCTGGATAACAGAGATGAATGGGGGGGGGGGGGAAGAAGTCACTTTAATGAGGCCAGCTTAGAATTTCTGAAAGTCTTGCTAACAGGTCAACCTAAATGCAATAGCATAAATAAGAGCTGCAAAACAAGTCACCAAATTTTTGTAGCAAACATGACTTTTCTTATGCTTTTGCTTAGAAATAAAGTTTCACATTTTGTAATCCCAGATCTTTGCAATTCCAAAAATCTGTAATTTTGGCCAGGCATCCCAACAAGATAGTATTGTTCAGATAGCAGTCAGTCACCTACCTGAAGAAGACAGAAAACATGAAACGATTGGAGATAATAATTTGGATCCATCCTTCTTTATTTTATCTGAATGCCTGAGAAAATGTTTTAAGTGTACTACTTTCAGTTTGTGCTGTGGAAAAAAATGCAACTATCCAAAAGACAGTGGGAATATTGATATCTATCAGTTCAATTCAGGGACTGGAAACAGTTCAGCTTCAAGATAGAGAACTTGGTAATCCAGTGAATTATTACAGATAGTCCTTGACTCACAACCATTCATTTAGTGATTGTTCAAAGTTACAACAGCACTGAAAAAGTGACTTATGGCCACCTTTATCCCCACAGTCATGTGATCATGCCATTTTCCAATATTTTGCTTAAAATACTCAAGGCAACATCCATTTCTTTTTGCATAAGGGTTTTGCTTATTAGTGATGGGAAGATTCCCCTCTGATTGTTCAGTGTGAAACAGAATGCTTGAGTAGATGGGCTTTTGATCTGATCCACTTTAATTCTTCTCATGTACTTGTGCTTAATATTTTTTATTATATGCAAGAAGAGAGGGAATTCTGGAAGTGTTCTTAGTATACAAGGTATGAGTATTGTATGATTTGTAACATAGACTGCATTACATTTGAATTGTCTCATATTTCATTTTGTGGATAGTCCTCTAGGTGAATGTTAAATTCTTTAGCATTGCTTTCCTTGTATTATGAATTCCATCTACAGCTTAAGCTTCCTGTGTTGTTATTTTACATTGGAAAATTGGAAAAGGGATAAATATACTGATATGCGTACCAGTGACTTGTATGAATAATTTTTGAGCTTCTAAGAGTCTCTGTCCTCATATTTAATTACAGGGCTGACAATTTCAATTTAAAAATGCATTTCCACTTCTAATTCTTTTAAATAATGCCATGGTGCTTGGATTTATATTTTCCCAATCCTCACAGGTGAGCATGCACATGTACACACATCAAAAATAAACTTGATTATTAGCTGACCATCTTCTGAAGTTTGATGGGGAAAAAGGGATACCATATGCAGCTCCTTGACGTACTTTTTTTTCCCCAAAATCATTCAGTGTAGAATTAAGAATAAAAACACCTTATGCTGAATTGAAAGTAGATTGTCAAGATCATTTTTTGTCCTGCTTGAAAGGTTCCGTGTGGCTGGTTCTTTCCTGCTACCTTATGATCCAGAGCAAAGTAAACAGGCCCAGGACTCACTGCAGGTGAAGCTGACTCCAAAGCAGCTAGAACAGATCCTCCCAAATATGTTGTGCAGTCATAATATTATTATGGGGCTTTAGCCTCCAGATTTGAAACAGGCCACATCTTCCTACAAATACTTATTTCAGCCCTCCAGAAGCCATGCCAAGCCTTCTTCCTGATTAGGGCCTAGACCGGAGAGGACCACGGGAGGGTAGCAGCCAAACCACATCCCTCATAGATTTGGTTCTTGCCACAATACCATTTATTAATATAGGTACCGTATTTTCCGGCGTATAAAACGACTTTCTAAACCCTGAAAATCTTCTCAAAAGTCGGGGGTCGTCTTATACGCCCAGTCGTCTTATACGACGGAAAATACGGGTATTCTATTTTATTCCTTTACACATGTGGTTTGGCATATTACTCATCAAGTTTTCTCTCCCCCCCCCTCTCTCTCGCTCAAACTCTATATTTTAACTGGAAAGGTTGGGGGTCGTCTTATACGCCCAGTCGTCTTATACGCTGGAAAATACGGTAGTCTACGACAGAGGCCCCCAACCTTTGGGGCACCAGGGACCGGTTCTGTGGAGAAAGATTTTTCCATGGACCAGAGGGGGTGTGGTTTCGTGTGCTGCCTGCATCCAGTGTATGGGGCTTCACTTGTTGCTGGTATGCCATTGGCCTCTATTTATGACTTTTTAAAATATTAGTTATTACATTTAGTACTAGTTGCAATATTCCCCTTTCATTTTTACTTTGAAGTATTTTATTTAGAATATGTTGTATCTCTTTTCATTAAAAATAAATGTGTAGCTTGGAAAACATTCATTATAATTCTAATATAATAAAGAACAAAAAGCAGTACAACAATGCAAAATCATAAAACCAACAATTTAAATATTAAAAAGACAGGAAGGCAACTAATAAAATCAGACAAAAGCTAATAAATACATTTTCAGTTTCTGGTAAAGATACTCCATTTTGTTTACTCTACAAGTTGAGCATCACTACCCACATTTACCACAGGTTGATAAATTTTGCTTAGAAATTACTAGAAACGTATTGTGGCCTTTTGACTATTCTTCCCCTTTAAAAAAAATATCTGAAAACAAAATTAAATGGTGTTTTGCCTGTTAGGCTTTCTATGGAAATTAGAATAGAATAGAATCATAGAACTGGAAGGGACCTTGGAGATATTCTAGTCCAACTCCCTGCCCATGGTAGAAAACCATTGCGGACAAATGTCCTGTCTATTCTTAAAAACCTTCAGCGATGGAGCATCCACAACTCCAGGAGGGAAACTGTTCCATTGGTTAATTATTCTATCGGGAAATTTCTCTTTAGTTCCAGGTTGGCTCTCTCTTTAACGAGCTTCCACTCTTTTCTTCTGGTTCTACCTTCAGGATTTTTGGAGGATCTGTGGCAGCCCCTCATGTACAGAAAAACAACTGTCATATAATCCCTAATTCTTCTCTTGTAAGGCTAGACATACGTAGTTCCCTTAATCATTCCTCACATGAGTTATCTTGCAGATATTAGTTGAGTTCTAGTTGTTCTGTAGCCCATCTCTTAATTCAGAGGTCCCCAACCTTTTGGGCACCAGGGACCGGTTCCGTGGAGAGAGGTTTTTCCATGGACTGGAGAGTGTGTGGCTTTGTGTGCTGCCTGCATCCCACGGATGAGGCTTTGCTTGTTTGTGTGGACCAGTTGCTGGCATGCCGTGTCCTGGTACCGGTCCACACCCCTGTCTTAATTCATTCTTTAGGCATTTCCATTGTTCAATGGGATTTGCTCTACTCTCTTGAACTTAATGTTCTGCTGTGAGATCCTTATACTCAAGGCAATATTCATTTTGTCATTTTGTTTTGTTTGCACAACAAGCAGTAGTTTTGTTTCAGTTATTTTCTATAGGTTCCTCAAGGTCTCCATACTGTAAGCATGGAAAACTGATGAAGTAAGAATCTTATATGGGTTAAAATATTTGAAAGCCTAGACTTTTATCTTTCAGGAATGTTTCCTTAGATCAGGGGTGTCAAACTGCCAGCCCGCGGGCCAGTTGTGTCATGCGGAGGCTGTGCCCACCCCAGCTCCAGCCGTGCAAAAAAAGTCGCAATACATCACGACATGTTCCAGGATGTGGTGAATTTGACACACATGCCTTAGATGATGTCAGCACCCAGCAGAAGAAAATGCATGCTTCTTACATCTGTTACAAAGGCATATGTGTTTATAAGCTATGGCTTTTCTGCTTCCAATATCAAAGACAAGAAATTATCTCATGCATTCAAAAGGGAAGAAAACTCTGATTTATACAAGTTTGGCATTTCAAGACTAAAAGTAAGTTTATTTAATACCTTCTAATATCGAATCATTACAGTATATGGCTACAATTGAGGTGGATGTAGGAATACAAGTGGACAAATCCTATTTTTGGAAGCTCGTATTCTCAAACCTACAAAACAGAATCAAAAGAAGAGAGCTGGGAAAGATTTGACTGTTCCACTTAAATCTGTTTAGGTGGAAAGGGCTTCCAAGAGAAGACTCGTAATCTGAATATTCAAAAGTCACTGCACAGGCCTTTTATCTTTCCTACTATTTTTGAGATATGTTTTCAAGATATGAAAAAAGAAACAAACTGCACAGGATTTTAAATGGAAAACTGCATTGCTTAGGCCCAATCAGTCCCTAACATTTGTGTGAACGAGGCAGGATAAGTGCCCAATAAAAGTTGGCCTGAGGTTCCCCTGGGGTTAATTTCAAATGAATTGGGTCAGATCCTTATTGCAGTAGAATGAATTTAAGAGGATAACAATAGGAAAATGCTATTATCTGGTTCTGTAATTTTGCCTGCATTCTCATCATTTCTACCTGACTGTAGAAAGAAGTCCTGTGACTTTAATAAGGTGGGAGACTACTAAGAAATTTTAGAACTATATACAGTATTAGACTAAAAATCATTTTTTAAGAATCCTGAGAGAAGACAGAGGCAGTATTTCCATACTGTTGAAGAAAAACTCTTTAAGGACAGGTCTACCAGAAGCTGAGGTCAACTCGAAGAAGAACTGTCACCATATGATTCACATGGTGGCAACCCAACAAACATCTCTCTTGATTTAGCATCAGCTTTTGAATACACAGAATGTATTGTGCAGTTCTTTATACTGGAATACCCAGTGGTATCCAACTTTGTTGAATGTCAAAACATGCAACAAGCATACTGAAATATGTTGGTAAATGTGCAACCCTGGGATCAACAAATAACTGAATAATGTCAGAGAGCTAGCAGTATTGATTTTGCTTTGGAAGCAATTGTATAGTAAGCATAGCAGAAGTGTTTGTGTAATCTTTTATGCTTCATATGCCCTGTGAACAGTCAGGAATCTTTTATCTTTTACATGATTAAAA